CCTAAACGCGCCCCCTTGGCAAAGTGAAAGGCCAGCGACAGGGGGATTCTTGCATAAGAGCGGGGAGCCTTGGGCAGAGGCCCCAGATTCCTTCGTCCTGAGACGTTCCCGGCGCTCTCTGAGCGTTCCTGTGCTGTGCTGGGTATCGCGACACGGTGTCAGCGGAGTCACCTGTAACCCTCAAGTCTTTCACCTTGTCCGGGTGACGTCAAGCAAGGACAGGTTCAACGTCCAAACACATTCTCACAGTCCCCCACGTCAATCAACGTTTTTCTGATTCTCTTATACTGCTAAGGGAGCGGAAGTCATGGAAGGAAAAATGTCTCGCCCCGGGCCACTCAGCAGGTGTGGGCGGAGCCAGGCCTGCAGCCTGGGCATTCTGAGCCTCAGCCCAGGTTCCTTTTTGCTCTGCTCCTGCAGACCCTCTCGTGCAGTGGAGTCTGTGGCGTCTTTACAGGGAGCACTCAGCAGTTAACCCGGACATCGGATCTGTAAGCCCAGAGATGACAGCAGCGTCTCAGGATTTGGGGGAGAAGTGGCGTTGGCACTGTGCACTGGGGACACTCAGGCTCCCAGGCTCCCAGCCCCCAGCGGGACCCCAAGACCAACCAGAAATGTTTCTCAGGGAGGAGCAGCTGCCTGAGTCGCCAGAAAACGGTTGCTCCCGCTACACTCTAAGCTCCCTGAAGCTGGAGCCTAGGTCTCTGCTGACTTTGTCTGCTCTGCATATAGTAGGTACTCAATAATTTATTGGATAAGGTAATAATTATCATTTACCAAACTTTCAGCTTAGGATCAGATCAAGTGAGTGCTACACACTATATCATTTAATTCTCACAATGGGAACAAAGTGAATAAAAATTTTGACCTGAGGCGTGCAGGCCAGGAATAACAAGCCTTGTGACATTCTATTCTGGCCCTACCGCTCCATTCATTTCATCCGCCATGCCCTTGCACATGCTGTTCCCTCTGTCCAGAATGCCTTTCCCTGTCCTGAGATGATGGGTTCATGTTTCCATACCTAGGGCCTTTCACATAGGATCTGATACTTGCTGGCTTCTCTTTCCCTTATCCTGCTCTTACTCCTCATTCCGACCACACAGGCCTCTGCTACCCTCCCCCACTCAGAGTCCCACCCCCACTATGCTTTTCCAGCACCACGGCCTTTCTCTTCACAGCACTGAAACCTGTGGCAATTTTACATCCATTTAAGTGATCAGTGGTCATGTGATGAATGCTTCTCCCACTAGAATACAAGCTCCATGGAACAGGGGTCAGAGCTGGCGGTCAACATGTATTTGTTAAGTGCAGAAAAGCACACAGTCCTCATAGGCATTAGGGGCTGTGTGGTGCATGGGACAGAACATAGTTTTAAGAGCCAAGCAGGCTGGCTTTAAATCTTAGTTCTGCCACTTACTATGTGACCTCAAGAAAGTGGCCAAATTTCACCTGAGGTCGAACTCTACATCCATAGCCCTGACTGGTGTGGCTCAATCAATGGGTTGGACGTCTTCCCACAAACTGAAAGTTCAAGTTTGATTCCAGTCAGGGCAGATGCCTGGGTTGTGGGCCAGGTGCCTTGTGGTGGGGGCTGTTGGAGAGGCAACCCATCGTTGTTTCTCTCCCTCTCTTCCTCCCTTCCCCTTCTCTATAAAAATAAATAAATAAAATGTTTTAAAAAAATTCATCATCCGCCCTGGCTGGCGTAGCTCAGTGGATTGAGCACGGGCTTCGAACCAAAGCATTGCAGGTTCGATTCCCAGTCAGGGCACATGCCTGGGTTGCAGGCCACAGCCCCCAGCAACCGCACATTGATGTTTCTCTCTCTCTCTCTCTTTCTCCCTCCCTTCCCTCTCTAAAAATAAATAAATAAAATCTTTTAAAAAAATTAATCATCCATAAACAAAATGCCATACCTACTTTGTAGACATACACATAATGTATGTGCGGTACTTAGTAGGAGTTCAAGAAATGGTAGCACTCACCCTAGGTACCCAAGGATGCTTGCTGATTGCATAGTAATTCATGTAACTTCTTGTTTTGAAAGGTGCTTGTGGATTATTAGGACATTTATCTTTTTCATTCAGAAATTACATTGGACATGTAGTCTCCTATTTTAAAAATCTGTTGGGTTACTCCCACTTTACAGATGGGGAAACATTCAAAGAAGTGAAATGACCGTTCCAAGGTCACCCTGCTAGGGATAGTTAAGGAACAGGTCCAGGTCAATGCTCGAGCTGATTAAAAAGGAAAAATCAGAGCTAAGCGCTCCATCTACCAAAGGACATCATGAAACCTTCCAATGGCGAGTCTGTTAGTTCCCTTTAGTGGCAGACCCGCTTTCATCAAAGGGCAGGTTGGTGGAGTGGGAAGTGCTATGGGCAGGCCCGTAGTCTGGACATGCAGGTTCTGGTCCTGTCCCCCCTCAGTCCCCTCACATGAAGGATAAGAGTAATCCTGAGATAGCTTGTATCCTTACTTCATGTAAAAATGCTAGATAAGCCCTGGCTGGCGTAGCTCAGAGGATTGAGTGTGGGCTGCAAACCAGGCATCATCGCAGGTTCAATTCCCAGTCAGGGCACATGCCTAGGTTGCAGGCCATGGCCCCCAACAACCGCACATTGATGTTTCTCTCCCTCTCTCTAAAAATAAATAAATAAAATATTTTTTAAATGCTAGATAAATATGAGATCTTCATAGAATCACTTTCAGACACTGGAAGGGCAGGGATGCTGCCATTTTTCTCTGTATTCCCTACGACCTACCACTGTGGTTTGAAATCAGAAAGCCCCATACAAGTGCGCTGAAGGAACAACAGGTAGACTGAGTGAATGAGACAATCTCTTATTTCTTTTCTCCAGCTCCAGCTCCCCCTTTACCTTGGGAGTGGCTGGGGAAGGATGTCACTCAAGCCCCGGCCTTAGGGCAGGAAAACAAGTCTGTTACGGAAGGAAGTTGAAGATGCTGCATTTCCATGGGAGATTTGCTCTCCATTTCCTACTTGGAGTATAGGAGCTATCTGATTCACTTTTGTTGTCACCGCTCAGCTCTGAGGCTTGGCACCAGCTCTCAAGACGCCCTGGAGGATGTACAGGAGGAGAGGAGATCTGAAGGAGCAGCACCCCGGCCTTAGCTCGGGCCAGGTGGAGCGGGAGACTGCACCTTTCCCATTCCCAGATGGCTCCCGAACAAACAAAATCCTGGTTTTGAAGGAAAACGTTTTTCCTAAAGTAACAAAAAGGCAACTTCTCCAGGATAGAACCTGAGAAATCTGTACTGCATATTATTCAATCAGGGGGGAAAAAAAATCAAATCCTGTCAAATGTGGATCCATTGTATGTACCCACTCAGAATTTTCTTTCTTTCTTCCTACTCTTTCCTTCCTATTTTTTTTCCTTTACCTTTTTTGTTGTTTTGTTTTTAAGTCAACCCTTTTCTAGACTGGTGCACGAAACAGCTCACCAAGCTGGGAGGATTTGGCCCATACTGAGAAGCAAAGGGGTTTTCTAAACTCAATTTTCTTTCTTCTTTTTAAGTGACCCCCCCTTCCCTTGGGAGAGACAATAGAAATAATTGATCCATCATCCAGTATCAGGCCCCAGAGATTTACATGCAAATCCCCCCTCTCCTCCCCAGACCCCCCACCCCTCATATTTAAAATCCAAGAAGAGAGAAAAAAAAAAAAGAAAGAAAGAAAACCCTTTTAAACTAGCAGGAACCCTGCTGGCCACTCACCCCGAACCAGGTGAGAGATAGGAGGGGGTGATAATCCACAACCCCCAGCCTCTCCCCTCGCCACTCACACCACCATTTTCTGGTGTGGAATCACTTAAGATTTGGGTAAAATGCTCCCCTCTCCCAGGAGACGATATCTGGAAGCTTTTTAGGGGGCGGAGGCAGAGCTGGGGAGAGAAGAGTAAAATTCCCCCAAACGGCCTAAGAAAGTCATCTCTTCACTCAACACTGCCCGTCACCCTCCACCCCCCACCATTAACCTTCGATTAAGACCTCCTCGTTATGGCAACTAAACTTTACTTTGCATAATTAAGATTTGCCTCGGAAGAAGGGGGAGGGAGAAGCCGTAGCTCCCGGCCATTCTACTTCACCTCACCTCCTCCCACCCCCGCCCCAGCCCTCCAGCTCTGGGCCTCTAAGTTCCTGAGTTTTCTCACTTTGAGGTGCCACCAACACAAAGAACCATAATGGGCTCCTTTGTGCTCGCTACGGGGCAATTACGCCCCGGAGTCCAGGCCCCTTTAAGAGCCTCTTAAAGAGACAGGCTCTCATTTTTCAGAGGGTTCTTTAGGAGTGTGTGCAGGGGAGGGGCGAGGCAAACTCCTGGGGCTCTGCACACAGAGTGCAGTGAAACTTTTGTCTGGACTACATGAGAAGGGGCTAAGATAAAAAGTCTTTGTTACCAGTTAGCTTTTTAAAAAGTGCCTCTTTAAAAAAAATTTTTTTTTTGACTTGAGATTTTTCACTTGATCTGAAAAATTGGGCTGGAATAGGTGGGGTTCGAGGAGCTGGGGCGGAGGCCGAGGTTTAAAGAGGCCCTACCCTGGAGAGCACCTTGCCCCCCCCCCCGGGAGAAAAGTGACCCAGGTCTTAGCAGTTTGGGTCCGCCACAGGGCTGGGGGATGAGTGCCTACGGATTTGGTCTCCGCGACTCGGGAGGAACCCTGTCCTGGGCAAACAGCCCTCAATACAAGAATAGCATGTCTCTTTAAAAAGCAAAAGGAGGGGGGGAAAGTTTTGTTGGCATCTGGTTTCTGATCTCATTATATCGTGGCCGACCAATCCAGCCCTCGGGGCTGGTCCTCGGGTTTAAATCTGATTGGCCGAGAGCACATTTTGGGATGGTGCTTAGAGCTCGACGGGGCGGTTTCAAGGCTCCCTTTTTTGGGGGGCTGAGGGGAGGGCGGGGCTGCCGGCGGGGGCCCCCTTGAAACCGACTAATTGGGATCGGAGAGGCCGAGGTGAGGGCTGGAGGAAGGCACAAAGGAGTCGCTGGGCGGAGAAGGGAGGGGAGAGGCGAGAGGAGGAGGAAGAAGAGGAGAGAGAGCAAGCGGCGCGCGGTGTCCTCGGCTGCTCAGTCCGATTGAGACGAGCTTGCGGGCAGGCGCGCCGCCCCCTCCCCCGCCCGGCCTCCCCAACTCCGCGGCCGCGAGCAAAGTTTGCAGAGAGGCGCGGGAGGCGGCAGCCGCGGTGAGGCGGCGGCGGGGAAGGCGCGCGGTCTCCGGACTGGGGGCGGGGGCGGGGGGCCGCCCGGGAGCTGGGTGGGGGGCGGCGGCCAGCATGCGGCCCCGCAGCGCCCTGCCCCGCCTGCTGCTGCCGCTGCTGCTGCTGCCCGCCGCGGGGCCGGCCCAGTTCCACGGAGAGAAGGGTATCTCCATTCCGGACCACGGCTTCTGCCAGCCCATCTCCATCCCGCTGTGCACGGACATTGCCTACAACCAGACCATTATGCCCAACCTTCTGGGCCATACGAACCAGGAGGACGCGGGCCTGGAGGTACACCAGTTCTACCCGTTGGTGAAAGTGCAGTGCTCGCCCGAACTGCGCTTCTTCTTGTGTTCCATGTACGCGCCCGTGTGCACGGTGCTGGAGCAGGCCATCCCGCCGTGCCGCTCCATTTGCGAGCGCGCACGCCAGGGCTGCGAGGCGCTCATGAACAAGTTCGGTTTCCAGTGGCCAGAACGTCTGCGCTGCGAGCACTTCCCGCGCCACGGTGCGGAGCAGATCTGCGTGGGCCAGAACCACTCGGAGGACGGCGCGCCGGCGCTCCTCACCACTGCGCCGCCACCCGGCCTGCAGCCGGGTGCTGGGGGTACCCCCGGCGGCCCGGGCGGCGGAGGCTCGCCCCCGCGCTACGCCACGCTGGAACACCCGTTTCATTGCCCGCGCGTGCTCAAGGTGCCGTCCTATCTCAGCTACAAGTTCCTGGGCGAGCGCGACTGCGCGGCGCCCTGCGAGCCGGCGCGGCCCGACGGCTCCATGTTCTTCTCCCAGGAGGAGACGCGTTTCGCGCGCCTCTGGATCCTCACCTGGTCCGTGCTGTGCTGCGCCTCCACTTTCTTCACCGTTACTACATACCTGGTGGACATGCAGCGCTTCCGCTACCCCGAGCGGCCCATCATCTTTCTGTCCGGCTGCTACACGATGGTGTCCGTGGCTTACATCGCGGGCTTCGTGCTCCAGGAACGCGTGGTGTGCAACGAGCGCTTCTCCGAGGACGGCTACCGCACGGTGGTTCAGGGCACCAAGAAGGAGGGCTGCACCATCCTCTTCATGATGCTCTACTTCTTCAGCATGGCCAGCTCCATCTGGTGGGTCATCCTGTCGCTCACCTGGTTCCTGGCGGCGGGCATGAAGTGGGGCCACGAGGCCATCGAGGCCAACTCGCAGTACTTTCATCTGGCCGCGTGGGCCGTGCCGGCGGTCAAGACAATCACGATCCTGGCCATGGGCCAGATTGACGGCGACCTGCTGAGCGGCGTGTGCTTCGTGGGCCTCAATAGCCTGGACCCGCTGCGGGGCTTCGTGCTGGCGCCGCTCTTCGTGTACCTGTTCATCGGCACGTCCTTCCTCCTGGCCGGCTTCGTGTCCCTGTTCCGCATCCGCACCATCATGAAGCACGACGGCACCAAGACCGAGAAGCTGGAGCGGCTCATGGTGCGCATCGGCGTCTTCTCGGTGCTCTACACCGTGCCGGCCACCATCGTCATCGCCTGCTACTTCTACGAGCAGGCCTTCCGAGAGCACTGGGAGCGCTCGTGGGTGAGCCAGCACTGCAAGAGCCTGGCCATCCCGTGCCCAGCGCACTACACGCCGCGCATGTCCCCCGACTTCACCGTCTACATGATCAAATACCTCATGACGCTCATCGTGGGCATCACGTCGGGCTTCTGGATCTGGTCCGGCAAGACGCTGCACTCGTGGAGGAAGTTCTACACGCGTCTCACCAACAGCCGGCACGGAGAGACCACCGTGTGAGCGGGTGTCCCCGGGCCCGGGCCGCACCGCGCTTCCCTCCGCCCCGGGTTGGGGGGGGAGGGGCGCTCCTACAGACTCCTTATTTTATTTTTTTAAATAAAGAACAATCGAAACCATTTCTTTTTTTTTTTTTAGGTCGCTTTTTAAAGATAACTCTGCCCAACACCCCCACCAGGTTTGTAATTAAAACTATAAATAGTCTTTGTAAATTTAATTATATATTTTCTATTTAAAAGAAAAAAGGGGGGAAAAAAAAGCGACGGGCGCCAGGGCTGAGGCCTGGGGGATGGGGGGGGGGAGTTGAGGGAGCTTTTGCCTTTCTTCAGCGCCCTTTCCAACACCACGCCCCACTTCGGTTAGGAGTTTTTGGTGCTTTGGCAGGGCCGAGCCCGCTGGAGGAGGTGTTGGCTGGTTTGTTACATTTGACCTCTAAAGCCAAACTGGTGAGCCTTTCCTCTGACGCTGGGCCTGGGGAAGCTGGTGGATATTTTTGAACAAGACTTGGATTCTTGTTTTATTTCCCTTCCCTTCTTTCTGTCCGCACTTGTCTTCTCTCCTTCCCTTGATCTTTGTTAGAACCTTCCCCCCGGAGATGAAGACGTGGAAAAAAAAAAAACAAACCCACGGGTGGGGTGGTGAGGAGAGGAGAGGGCGGGAGCGTCGGCCCACTCCTCTGCAGACGGGAGGATCTTTCTCCTCCTGAACTTTTCTCCTGTTCAGCTCGCCGCCCCGAGCGCTGGGAGTGCTTTGTGAAGTGTGTTTTGAAAGTAACCTCCCTCCCCCACACACTACCTTGAATACCGATCCTGACCCCTGACCACATGTCTAGGGGGAGTGTTATTAGCTTGCAAATGTTGGGGTTTGCTGATGCCCTGTATCCTTCCCCTAATTTCCGCCGAAGCTTGCACCCCAATCCCACCCCCACCAACCGAATAGCGCCTGTGGCATTCATTCAGGTTAGGCCTTGGTGGGGTGGTTTGTGTCTTACGTGTGGGTTTTTGTTGTTGTTTAGGGCTTTTTTTTTTCTTTTCTCGAAAAGCAATAAAATAGGGTTGGGTTGGAGGGAGGGGACAGATGGGTTGGTGGGGGTTTTTGTTTTCCTTTGACAAAAGACTGGTTTATTTTCAAACTTGTCCAGAAAGGGGGGTGGGGTGGGGAAAGGTGGGTTCCTTGCTTTGGAAGAAGGCTCTGGGCAGGCTCTTTGTGACTGTGGGGGCGGGGCTGAGTGTTTACATGACATTCTATAGCACAAGATTGATAGGATGTTTATAACAGCTGTTTCTTATCTTCCTCCTACCCCCCCACAAATAAAAGTCAAGACTTTTTCTTAAAGTATCTTTGACACTGGTATGAGAATTGCAGTTTCCAATACACATCATCTCCCTCACCTATTTGGGATATTTTAGAATTTTAATTCTACAGAATTGATTTGAGGACCCAGGGCGGGCGGGCCGGACACTTCTGCCACCGAACTCAGTTTTTCACCATTTCCTGTTTCTTGATAATAGTGCAAATTAAAAGCTCATAATCATAATAATAAAGTACATTTAATTATCTTCTAGAGATCTAGGCCTTTAATTGTATTTAACAGGGTTGTAACATTTTATTAGTTGAAGCAAACCACACCCCCCTCCTTCCCTCTCCCCCCAGCTGTTCCTTTGGGGATGGGGTAGAGCAGAGGTTCCTTGCTCCAGACCTTGCTTTTTTAGCTCCGTGGGGATGGGGGAAAGTGTGCCTCGCCACCCTTTGTTGGCAGTCTTTGGGACAGGGGAGAAAGTAAGTCAGAACCCCTACTTCCAAGTGTTTGCGTGTGTTAGTTTATGTTGGGGGAGGGGATCTGGAAATGTTTGGTGGTAATTGAAGTCATATGTGGGGCTTTGTTTGGAATTGTATGAAGTCTGAGGGTTTCAGCAGAGCCCCTTTCCCAAAATATATAACCTTCCCCCAGATCATTTGTGCCGGTGGCCAACATGGTCCGTTAAAACTAGCCGTTCCTCAAATGATGATACGTGTGAAGTCCCAACCTTAAGATTCCCTCAACTGTCAGAAGTAGGCGGGTCAAGTGTCACAAGGCTTAGGCTCCATTTGTTGCAGGACTCTGCTAGAAAGGAACCCCGCGAGAGCTGCAGGAAAGAGTTAAATTACAAACAAATTGTGAGTGCCTCTCCTGGAAAGAACGGGAAAGCCTGTGAATGGGGGTGTGGGGTGTAGATTTTCCAGGGGCTGGATGGAACCCAGTGGCAGGGGGAGTGCTGGAGTGCTGGTTGAAGATGTGGGGAGGAACCTCCCAAGGGCCCAGCACCCCAGCTCTGTGTGCTCCTAGGTGTACTTGTCAGTGGCGCCCGTGCAGTCGGCCGAGGGAGATGGTAGATGAGCAGCAGTGACCTCTTCCTTCCCCGAGTGGTGGTGGGAGGGAGAGAATTTTGGTGAAGATTGTTCTTCTCAACCCCCTCCCTTAAAGTCTCCGGTCACCAGAGGGGAAGTGGGCCCAAGAAAACTGGGGTGGGGGGAGCTTTATGGTGGTGGCAGGATAGATGACACTTGCCTCTGGGACAGGAAGGGCCTTCTACACGTCCTCCCCCTCTCCAAAGGGTAGCCTAGGGCTGGACGTCCTCCCCCTCTCCAAAGGGTAGCCTAGGGCTGGATGGCCTTACCGAAAGGGAGCCCTCTCCGTGGCTGCTTTCACTGTGCTAATGAAACAGCTCTTCGAAGAGGGGAGGTAGGTGTTAGTGAGCCCATGGTGTGGGGGGTTTAGGGGAGAAAGTGCCTGGAGCTCACTCACCGGAGCTCACTGCCACACCTGGACATGGGTCTCTCCTCTCTTGTATGGAAAACTCAGTTTAAACATACGGGCTTGGAGATCTGCAGAAGCAGACCTCTCGGTCGCCCTACGGGGAAGTTGTAAGTAGATTGGTACCTCCCTTCGGAAGAGAGAGGCTTTGGTGGAGGGTCAAGGGCCCAGAAAGAAACGTCTTCACCTGAGGCCTGGAGCCTGGGACAGGTCTCAGACCAAAGCTGCTCTCCACCTGACCTCCCGTCCTCACCCCACCCACACAGGGGCAAGGCTGCCGGTGCCCAAGATTCAGGACATCTCTCCTCCTGACCCCTCCCTCACTGATCAGACTTTGGCTTTTCCTCCCGCCCTCCTCTGACTCCCCTCCTGAAAAAATAGTTCCATGAGTTACAAACTCTTTGTCCTTTAAGAGCCAATCCCAGAAAAGGACAGTCAAGTTTTCCAAAACAAAATTCTTCTGAATGTCCCCAAAGAGTGAGGACCAGTAGGATCTGGAGCTGCTGACGTCTGGATTATTTCAAAAGCCTCTCCAAGAGGGTGTTGGGGACCCCAGATCTGGGCTGGGTTCTGGAAGTGGGGTCTTTCCCAGGGTGCACGAGGCCTGCGTCTGGCTAGGGGAGACTGGCCCAAGCCCCTGCCACCTCCTGGGCGTCTCCCCTCAGATCATCTCACTGCTCAGGTCGTAGGGCCCTTTCCTATTCTGGATGCACCTGCCTCTCCTCTAAATGGGTTTTAGACTGGGGACCACTGACTCCTCTGAAAACCTGAAAAGCCTTTGGACCTGGGAAGTTCATGGTCAGACCCCCATGAACATACGATTTTGCATTAGACTTTTGGGGGGGTTTATGGACCCTCTAGCTGTGCCCCCCATTCCATGCCCTGCCCCCCCAGCTAGTTTTCCAATACCTGGTTTAGATAGTTCCCAGTCCTGATTACTGGGTATCTTCACTTCTCCAAGGGGCAGCTTTTACTTTCTCAAGACTCTAGTGTCCCCGGTCTCGAATCACCTCTGCCATGGAAAAGGTGTGGCGAAGGGAAAACCATCCAGTCTACAAAACCAGGTACACCCCACACCAGATTCTTCACTCCCTCCTGTTTCTCTTGCAGGGCACAGGTTCTCTAGATGCAGAGGGGATGAATGTGCAATACCTTTGTAGCGGAGAGAGAAAAGTAGGAGAAAGAAACATACAGACCGGCCATGTGTAGGGTACAGGCTTTGGCAGAGTACAGTGCCCGGCTCTGAGCCCCAGCTGTCACCTGTAAAAAGGCCACAGTAACTGTCCTGCAAGGCTGTTGTGATGCTTAGATCAGAGGGTGCGTGTACAGAGCCAGCACATAGTAGAAGCTCAACAAATGGTAGCACTCTTCCAGTTACTTAGGATAAATTCCTCACAATACAGTAGAATCCTTGGATCAAAGGATGTGCATTTCTGGAGGATTTTTTAAACCTATCGTTACTGGCAGTTTTAGCAGAATAGAAGGATGTTTTGTGCTCGCCGTTTTTCTACCGGACGCAGGGTGCCAGCGCACAGTCTGGAGGTTCCTCGGGGTGGTGGTGGGCAGTGATTTGTCTCCCTCTCTGCTCTGATTAGGACCGAAATGTCTTGCCCGCCTGAGTGAGCGGGGCACGCAGGTGGGCGGGCTCTCGCTCCAGCTGGCTTTGAAGCCGGCTAATTAGGGCTAGGGCTGTCACAGCTGGCTTCCCCAGCGCACACCGGCCCCCCCGCTCTGCGCGTCCTCAGACTCACAGCCCGAGCGCCCCGCCCTGGCTGCCTAGCCTTCCCCTGCAGACTCGCCGCTTCTCCCGGACACACGGGAAAGGCTGAGATTGGAGGCCTGGGGAAAAGACAAGATGGGACTTGGGACATGAAACGAGCTCCGAGACCATTGACTGGTTTAGAGAGGACCGCCCATGGCCCTGGGCCCCCTCCTTGTTCCTAATGAAGCCTGGAGAGGAGCCGGCCCCGGGCCCGGGGGCTGAGCCCTGGGTCCTTTGTTTGAAAGCCAAGCTTTCTGAAGGCTCCAGCCTCCCAACCTGGCCCTTGTAATTAGCCCCAATCAGAGTGTTTACGTCGGGGCCTCGTGCGGAACTCAGAGCCCCGTGATTTCATTCCAGACCTGGGGGGAGAGGGGAGGGGAAGGGATTTGTGTGGGGACATGAAAAAAGGAGGCTGGGGATGAGGGAGACCTGGGTGAGGGGAGGGGCGGAGGTCAGGGGTGGGGGACGGTGGGGGCGGGGGGAGCAGGACAACCACTCTCCATGTGTCCATTCCAGGGGTCAGGACCCCTTCCAGGTTAGCTGGTGCCCTGGCATCCTGACCCTGGCCGAGCCTGCATGCCTTCTGGACAGGCTCTGTGGGTGGGTGGGCTTGTGCCAATCG